AGGCGTGGACGTCGGGGGCCACACCGGCGGCCGCCATCCGAAAGAGGACGTCCTCGGCGCCCTCCGGGTCCCGTGAGACGGCATAGGCCTTCATCAAGGACGTGTACGCCCGGACCGACGGGACCAAGCCGCCCTCCTCCCTCATGGTCCCGAAGACCTCCTCCGCCTTGCCCACGTTGCCCCGACTGGCGTGTAAATTCAACAGCATCGAGTACGGGACGATATCCGGCAAGAGCCCCAGCGTTTTCATCCGGGCCAGCACGGCTTCGGCGCCAGGGGCATCGCGTCGAACGATGTGAGCTTGCATGTAGTGGGTGAGGGTGAGGAGGTCCAGGGGCACGTGGTCTAGCTCTAGGCGGGCGATTAGGGCACCGGCCTCTTCTACGTTGCCATTCACCGCCGCTTTGCGAAGGGATTGGAGGACGGGGGCGTGCAAAAGGCCCAGGCGCTCGAAATCAATCGAACAAGAGCGGTTGGTCGCGGTGTTGGTCGCAGGGGACGTGGAGGAAGGAGCCATTGTTTGGTGTATGGGTCCGGTTGTGAAGAAAAGTCGTCTTCTTGGTCTCCTGTTCCTTGATATCCATGTCGGGTGGTGGCCTCTTTTGCTGTCAGAAAGACGGGAAGTGCTCGACAAGGAGGAGGACAGGGAGGCAAGGGGCAGGTGATGGGGAGGAGATGAAGGAAATGGGCGGAGAAAAAGGGCAAATGCCCGGGCGGAGTCAGCAGTTATCAAGCTGCTCATAACCATTAAGAGTAAATTCAAACATATTGATGGCTTCAAACGGGACGCAGGCTGTGAATTGCCGGCCATGTGAACACGGTGCCTCAGCTTCCTGCGACCGGGATTGGACGCAGCAAAAGGGACGCGCCCCGTCCACGCTCCCGGGGAAAGCGATACAAATCCTGCAGCGCTCCAATGTAACAACACCTGTCAATGCGTGGTAGACGCGATGCGTGATTTTTGTTTGCTGGCGTCGGGCTTTCTGATGCAGGCTGGGAGTCGAAGCGAGTTCGAGGTATCGCTGTGATATCCCTGCCTTCGGTATCATGTTTCGCTGAAAAAGTCAAAAAGTCAGGGTGCCATGCGGCACTATAAGGTATGATGTAAGCTTACGAGAACTATGAAAGCACGCGAAGCTTGACGTGGTCCCTCTCTTCTACCGAGTGATTGTGTCTATTGCTTTTAATAGGCATAACTTTTCTTGGCAGCCCCTCCGCGCTACCACACGTCGCGATCCTCTCTCAGGCCCATCTCGGGTCCGACAGAGAGAAATGTGCCATTCAGACATATACCTTGAGAAAGATATCCCACCTCAGTCTTCAAACAATTAAGCCACTACATATAAAATTGTCAATGCGTTACTGGCACCTGCAATGCATTGGGCAGGGAATCATCACCCTATTTCTTCGACAAGCTTGAACCGAAAGATGATATCATTTCAGCACGATACATGTCTGGCTCGGTTTTACTTCCTGTCATGGGGGTGCGGTTACGACGTCTGCCATTGGCGTTGACGAAATCTTTTATCATACTCATAGAGGAGAGAAATGTCGGACAGTAGGTCTGACGCACTGTTGTGCCAAGGTGTAGAATGTGTAAAATTATAGAGGGAAACACACACAGCTCTGTCTTTGAATATAAATTCCTTTGGATTGAGATAAATGTTTAAGTTTGCGTCAAACGCAAAATTCTAAGCCAAATAGATCGCGAA